ACAGTGCACACTAACACTTACGAAACGCTAACAGACTTAAAACCCAAGCAGATTTTATCTGCCCGGCCCCTTAAGGTGAGTGTTGATGTGATATATGAAAAAATGCCAAATTTTTCCATTATTACATTTCAAAATGCTTAATGGAACATAACATTTAATATTAAGAAACACTGAGATGATTATGACAGGTTACATGATAACTTTAATAACGTACCTGTTGTTTCCTGTAGACTGAGAAATGGAAATGGCTCTCCCCCGAATACTGGAAAAAATAACCTCTTCAGATGAACATCATCACTGGCGTGAATCATAACATTACACTAATGAAGAACAGTCGTTAACAAACGTACTTCCATCCACTGAAGCTACTTCTGATTATTGAATACTAGAATAGTACAGCTTTATTTTTCACTGGATTTTTGTATGTCTATTTGTGATATACTTTTATTTTATACTTTTATGTGTTACAAGAATATTTATTAACTTAATGAAAATATATATTGTGTCTTGATGTCAACAACAAGCTATAGAATCACAGTAGTTTATTGGACATTTTCTTTTAAGAAAAGGAATTTCATGTATATGATGTGTAATAAAATAATGATATTTTGAATAGTCAGCCTGTGCCACTTTTAGGGTTTTTGAGGATTTGCAAGTTCTCATATTTTCTTGATAAAAAAACACCTTTATGCCTACTGCACAACATTTCTTGTTTCATCTCAACTTTATTGACCATGAATTATTAATACACAGGGAATTAAGCTGTTAAACTTAACAGTCTTCAGAATTACCTAAGCTGCCAGTAACAGAGACCATCTGTGAAGGTGCACATCTGTCTTTCGAGATTCAGTACAACTTTTGGAATCATTAAAACAAATGATGTCATTGTGTCCTGCTTTTATGGTCTTTACCTAAATATTAATACTGTCACACAACAGATTTCCAGTAAAAACACTTCAAACATGTAAATAAATGCTATTTAAAATAGAATTCAACATTAAAACCAATGATACAATCAATACAATCAATGAACAAACTGAAAACATAACTGACTTTAGACTAATTATGATTCTTGTGTAAGCTAAATAGCTACCCCTACCGCTAACAACCTGGAAATTAATTATGTTTTTTTAATAGTAAAAGTGTATTAACCATGTTTTTTTTTTTGTATACTGATTAGAATTTTACTACAAATACCATGGTTAGCATAGCAAAACCATAGTTAATTTGTGGTTACCAACTATAGTATTGTTGTTGTTTTTTTAATTTGTAGTAAAACCATGATTAACTTTACAGCAGATAACTACATCTCTGTGACAAATATTAAATATAATGTGACAGAGATATTATATGTAATGTATCTTTTTATTCATTAATGGCGCTTCCCTTACAAAATTTAACCGTGGTTTTACTACAAATATAATCACATAATCCATAATTAATATAGTTAAACCATGGTAACTACAAATTAACCATGGTTTTGCTACACTAACCATAGTTTAACCATGTGGTCACACGAATGGTAATCAGTCCACCAAAAATCATGGTTACTACACTTTTACTATAATACAACGATGGTATATTTTCGTAAGGGTTGCTAAGCTATTAGCAACTAGCAAATACTCGTGGCTGAGGTCACATTATCTGCAAACTAGTTTCTTATTCATTAATTTTATTTGCTAAGCTATCAGCAACCAGCTAATACTCATAATATGGCTGAGGTGAGTATCTGTAACCTAGCTTTTTTTTTTTTTTTTTGCTTGCTATGCTATTTGCAATCATCTCATATCACAATATGACTGGTAAGTCACGTCACTGCATAGCTTTCTGTTTATTTATTAATGATGCTTGCTAAGCTACTGACAACCAGCTAATACTCATGCCTTGAGTGAGCCATATTATCTGTAAACAGCTTTAGCTTTCTGTTTATTCATTAGTGCTTGCTAAGCTATTAGCAACCAGTTAATGAACCGCTAAGACCAGAGCTACCATCTTAAACTGTTTTCAGACTCAAATGAGCTGGTCTCGAAAACACTGCTAGCTACTGTACATCACATCCTGTAAAAAAATAAGATTAGGCAACATAAAACAACCATGACTGGTCAATTAAGGACAAACAAAGAACATTAAAATTCTGCTTCAGCTGGCTCAGAAAATTTATTTAATAAAAGCTAAACAGTGTATAGTATATATGGACAACTACATTTGGATTTAAATTATAGGTCTATTGATCATAGTAATCAGGCACAACTACAAATTAATTATTGTTTCCTAGAAACTTCCTGACTCCCTACAGAGAGTAGAGGTGATATCCTCAAATGTGATTTATGTCTGGAAGAAATTTATAGCGGCCTTTCTGACTCCTTGGAGAAGCAAGACTGTGATTTGCACGCTTACGCACAAACTCGAGGGACCAAATGGTGTCGGACAAGATCTTCATGTAAATGGAGACAATAAAGCTGCCTGCAGTGACTGATCTGGTTTTTGTGGGCAGCAGAAATCGTAAATAAGAGAGTCATCACACAGACAGCAGAACTTCAGGCAGTGAAACGCTCTTCAAAATGTGTCCTTCTCTGTACGACACATCATACACTGTGTGTATGATAAATGGCATACTAGCAGAGCTAATGTGGCTAAGCTAACCAGTTAAACCTAATAGCCAAATATGCATACTTCCCTACTATATAGCAGGTGAAAAGCATTATGTGAAAGATTAGTTTGTCTGAATTTAGTATTCATAAAACTGTAGCTGTAGAGTACCCAGATAATCTACAGTAATTCCACTGAGGTTATGAAATTCACATCCAATGGACATTGTAGGTCAACATGGCGGATGAAGTACGTACAAATTTCACTCATACTACACACAATCATACTATATAGAACAGCTGCGAATTTTGCTCCTCATCAAACGTAGTACCTACTCAGTATGTGATTTCGGACACAGCTCTTGACCACCTTAATACAATGCTTATTTATTAACATAAACTTTGACACTGGTAGCTCTCATGATAATAAAGTCAAAACGAATGTAGTACGTCCCAATTACATTCACATTCATACTATATAGAACATAACTTTTTTAAAGTTGCAAAGTTTGTTCCTTATCAAACATAGTACCTACTCAGTATGTGATTTAGGATGCAGCTCTTGACCATCGCAATGCTTATCTGTTAATGTGAACCTAAAATATGATTGGTTGATAGGAATGCTGTTACAGCTGTGACCAAAATCGCCCAGAGTTTACTTCCGGTCTGTGTTTGTTTATCGGTCTGGCTAGTGGTGCCGACTACAAACGCATTAAAGTTAAGGTGATGAGTCAACTGAAGTTGGGCTTAGGTTGTTGTGCTGTGGGATGTGTTTCCCATACATTGATTTATTTGTGGCGCCCGCCACAATATCAAAACTGACCACCACAAATAGATTTTCCAAAAGGCTTTGACTTTGTTGAATAAATATGAGCACTGTACATTTCAAAATCAAAACGCAGCACGGGTGTTTTTATATCACTGTATCTCTGAAGGAAATCGACTGTCTTCAGAAAATTTTCGATGTCATTTTCATTTCATCTTGCTTGTAAAGCAGTGTTCATGAGCGCAGCGCTGCTTTGTGTACAGCCGTTACCATGGAAACCTCTATTTCTGCTGCTCCAAAAGCACCTCCTGCTGACAGAGAATGAATTTGCATGTTCAGTAAGCCTGTCTGGTTTACACAGCAAACATATTTTGCTTGTTATCAGAAATAATCTACAGGGACTTTGCTGTTGTTATTGATTCTTTGCAGAAGTCTACCGGAAGTTAAGTTCGGGCCACAAAAGTATACATGCAGTAACGTTTGTTTATGTTGTTGCCACTGAAACCATCTATAGTGCAGTATTTAAAGGGATAGTTCACCTTCAGTTGCTGGTCCCCATTGACTTCTATAGGAAGAAAAAACACTATGCAAATAAATGGGGACCAACTGAAGGTGAACTATCCCTTTAAGCGAACAGCCATTTGTAGTGGTGTCTGAAAACAGTGGACATTATCAAGTATACTCATTCAATCCCACAATGCATGGCAATAACAACCAATTTAGACTCAGTGTCTAGAGAATACCCATAATGCACCATTAGGGCTGCGCTGAATGAATTCCCACATTTTGGCAGTAGATGGCATCCATAGTGGAATCATACAGATGTATAGTAAAGGCCTGTTCAAATTAAAGTGATAGCTATAAAGATAACAATAACCAATGAATGCCAATGTTCTGTTTCATTATTAAGCACACACTACAGTTTTGTCATCTGCCACTTTAAATGCTTGAGCTTTTTAAAGTCAGGTGGATTCTGATTGGCTGCCAATGTTTTTATCGTCAGTTGAAAAAAAGTGATTCCAATGATGTTGTTCCTCTGTCATTAACATTTAAAACTAAATCTTTATTGTTACATCGTTGGTGTAAATGGGCCTTGAGTTCCTTTTTAATTGATTATCAATTGTTTAATTAAGGTTTATACAAGCAATTTTCCGAATTTGCGCACTCATTTTTGTTTCCTTTAAGGGAATAGGTAATGAGAGGGCGATTTCGGATAAACCAATTATCTAGAATCACACACTACTATGATAAATCAAGTTAGCATGTAGCTACAGTGCCAAAATAGACATTTTGAATGCTAAAGCTAATGGTAAAACTCCAAAATTGGATGTAAAAGCATTGTGTAAAACTTAGGATGATGTGTTTGCAGACTCAAACAAACGTATTGTGTTTCCTTGTTTATCGTTATTGATCAGGAGATTAGCGTACCGCGTTTGCCTGACAAAAAAGCCATTACTTGAACACATCCAGTAATACTGATATATACCCTGCCTTTGTTATCGAACTGGCTCCTAAAAAAACACCAAAATGGATTGTTTTGAAACTCTTGGGATGCCATATTGGCAAACATCACTGGGCTAATAAGATTAGAGGGCAGCCAAGGCCAGCACAGCGAGTGTGTGCGCGAACCACTGCGCATGCGTGAGTCACTGACGTCCCATTTTATGCTCTGCGTCCAAAAGAATCAATGCTCTAATGCCTACATTACTGTCAGCAGCCTGAGTGGCTGTATCAGACTGGAACAGAAGCAAATCTAAATCAGCAGATGCTCAGAGTGAGAGGCGTAATTAACAGAGGCGCTTCATCAGCACTTACATCCCACTGGAGTTTTTAATACAGTCCTCATAAAGGGAGTCGGAGGTAACGGGATGAGGAATTAACTGCATATTAGCGCAGGCGGCGTTATCCCTAATGACGGCACACTGCCGTGATATCGCCAAAACGGTCCCTCACCAATTCATCCAGGCATGCCTTGTTTTATGTCTGAGAAGCATTTTCATGGCTTACGTAAGCCCTGCTAATGGGATCTTTTGACCATTAACAAAGGTCTAAGTGCATTTGTTTCTATTTTAAAGTCCATTTTAGTTGTTTCTGGTATATGTATATCAAAATACGTGTCTAATGATGAAAACAATGTGAGAAACCATAACTATTTCAGATAATGGATGCTTTTTTACCATTTAAAGGGACTGTTTACCCCCAGATGAAAATTCAGAATTTTTTCACCCTGTCCCTATTGACTTTCATTGTATGGACAAAAAAATAACAAAACAAAGACATTTTTCAACAAAAGAGAGAACGTCATACAGGTTTGGAATAATATAAGGGTGTGTAAATTATTTTTATTTTTGGGTGAATTATCCCTTTAAAGGGGTCATATGATGCGATTTAAATTTTTCCTTTCTCTTTGGAGTGTTACAAGCTGATTGTGCATAAAGAAGATCTGTAAAGTTGCAAAGACTAGGTTGCTGTATGGGTGCTTATATTAAACTTTGTGCTATAGACATGAGTTTGTTGAGGAGAGACGATCTATAACTTTTATAAGCATTCAGATTTCCCTACAGCAGATGATAAAAGGGGTTCAATATGTTAGACTTATATTATGAGATGTTGTCAATTTCATGAAAAAAACGATTCATACATTCATAATTATGACAAAATAAGTCTTAATTATGAGATAAAGACAACAGATCAATGACGACAAAGTTGAAATTATGACAAACAATTATGAGATAATTATGACAAACTAAGTCAAGACAATCAAGATGACAAGTCGATGATGACAAATTTGAAATTAAGATAAAAAGTCAATGATGACGAAGTCAAAATTATGACAAACAATTATGAGATAGTCATAATTATGAGATAAAATCAATGACAACAAAGTTTAAATTATGAGATAAAGTGTGACACGTCAAAATTATGAGAAACATTTATTACATAAGATAAAGGGCCAAATTTACTAAATAGGGCAAATTAGTGCAATAACGCAATTCCAAAACAGCGCCGATGGGTGTGGACATTTCTGCAGGTGATTTAATGACAACGCGCAAATTAAAGAACACCGACGCAACATCTCATTTCCATAATGACCAATGCAATCTACCAAGTGCAGCGCAAATTAGCATAAGAATATGTTCGGATTCGGATAATGTATTCATCTGGCATTCCAAATAGATTAATACGTGTAGAAAAAAATCCTCTCCCTTCTACCACGCGCAGGATCACATACTCATCCTGTCACAACCCAAATGAAGCACAACCTATACATTAACATCTTAAACAACATTTCCTTGAAAAACAATCTAAAGCATTTGAATCAATGTTGGACTCTGTTAAAAGGACAGAAGCGTCTGACCCAGTAAATCATCAGCTGAACTAATATGGCCAAGGACAGCTCTGTGTATCTCTGGGTGGAGATTTTACTGGGCTCAAAGCGCGCTGTGTATAATCATACGAGTGCTGAGGCAGCGCTGCTCCTAACGATCTCATTTAGCTTAAAAAGTCATTAAAGTGGAATACTACAGGATAGGCTGAAGAATCATTGTTGGCCCATCTTTATTGTTAAGTTTGGTTGGTTCGCAGCTGCATGGGGCTTTGAACTAGAACGAGAAGAGGACAAAGAAACAGCCAGAGCCATGACTAGGGTAACAAAAATCCAGCAAAAATTATATTCAAATATTTATAAAAAATAAAATAAAAAAAAGCATCTCTTAGAGTAAGTAATTAGGGATAGGCTGGTAACTAGAAAACTCCTCCATCATGATCAAGTCACAATGTGCTCAAGATGGACTGTCCCGAAAATAAGTTCAGCGCTGGTCTATTTGGATATATAATGTGTTGTCCCAAGTTGTTCCAAAAAATGTTTTATTCTGTGGAACATGAAAGAAGACTTGAGAAATGTCTCGGTGTTGTTTTTGTCCATTCAAAGTTGTTTTGGACCCCACTGACTTAAAGTTGAGTAAATGATTACAGAATTTTCATTTGGGAGTCAACTATCCCTTTAATTCTCAAAATGAAGCACAAATGAGATTTAAAGGGATTGTTCACCCAAAAATGAAAATTGTCATTAATTACCCACCCATCATGTCATTAATTCCAAACCCGTAAGACCTTTGTTCATCTTCAGAACACAAATGAAGATATTTTTGATGAAATCCGAGAGCTTTCTGACCCTGCATAGACAGCAATGGAATGGAATGAACTGACATGTTCAAGGCCCAGAGAGGTTGTAAGGACATTTTCCATGTGACATCAGTGGTTCAACCGTAATGTTATGAAGCTATGAGAATACTTTTTGTGCATAAAGAAAACTAAAATAATGACTTTATTCAACAATTTCTTCTCTTCCGTGTCAGTGTTTGACTATTTTTTTTTTGTCACATGGACTATTTTAACAAACTATGTGACTATTTTACTCACTTTCTGGGCCTTGAACATGTCAGTTGCATTGCTGTCTATGCAGGGTCAGAAAGCTCTCGGATTTCATCAAAAATATCTTCATTTGTGTTTTGAAGATGAACGAAATGTCTTATGGGTTTGGAACGACATGAGGGTGAGTAATTAATGACAGAATTTTCACTATTTGGTGAACTATCCCTACAGCAGAGGTCAAAATTGTCAATGTCATAAATTATAATCTGTCCCTCAAAAAAAAAAAGGCATTATAGCGCACAAGTCACATAGACTACTGTTTGTGGTGATTTTTATACTTTTTGGAAAAGAGCGACGTGAACATTCTTCGTAATTTCTCTTTTGTGTTCTACGGAAGAAAAATACAGGTTTGGAACAACATGAGAGTGAGTAAAGGATGATGGACTTTTAATTTTTGTGTGAACTATCCCTTTAAATAATACATTTTGTCACAAAATCAAGCATTAACCCCAAAATATCAATAGATGCACTCAGTCAACAATCAACAGAAAACCTTTATTAAAAGTTAAGTCAAATGCCCTCTATCACATCAAATACTGAGAAAAGGTAAGAGACAGTTTGACACTAACACCTCAAGTTAGGACAGAAGGGATAGAGGGATCTGCAGGCGGAACAAATACATGGAGAGCGAATGACAGAGAAGACAATTAGAGAATATATGATGACAGAGCCCTTCATTCAACTGGAGAACATTTAGATATGATTGTCGTCATGCTCCAGTTCTATAAGCAATTAGATTGTGAAATGGCAAAGCTGTCGGGACATTAGGGAACGGGAAAAGGTGGGGACCGTAATATAATTCATGCATTTTATGGAGAAAGATTGCATAGCTGTAGAAAACTCTGTCTCGGTGGCGCTGATGCCAATAATGTGCTTGTAGCCCTCTCTCTCACTCTCTTGTCCAGTTTGTTTGTCCCTTCCTAAATGAAAACTGTCCCATGATTTATTTGATCCCAAATAAGAGTCTTAGAAGTGGGAGAGTGAGTTAAATTTGTGTCCAATGTGCCACGGACATTGGTAGAGAAGCCCATAAAAGTGGTTTACAATCCACATTAGTTTTACTCCAGGACGAGGTGTGTGGTTCAAACCCACAAAAGGCCTCAACTTTCCATTTCCTTTCTCCGAAAACACAAGGGATTTCTGATCCAAACTTTTCATTGGTAATGAAACAGCCATGTCAGTCAGTAATCCTGTCAAGTGTACTTCCAAAAATCAAAGGAAAACAACAGTAGACATTTATCCTCTGATGTGGACTTATCTGTTCAAGGAACATCAGCAATGGTGTCTTCCACTGAAGCCAATTTAGATTCGTATATGGAAGGTGCTGCAGTACAGAAAGATGACAGACAGAAAGAGCATATTAGATTAAACATAAAAACATAAGGACCAGCCAAAATCGAATTACGCCGAAAACCTTCCTGTCCCTCTCAATCATGTGGTCAGTGAGGCACAGCTGTGCAGTCCAAAAAGGCCTGTAAAAGCCAAGCAGAAGAACTCTTGCACTATAAAGCATATTTAAGCGCACTGCAGCCAAATTATAGCAGCATGCCTCCAGAGTAGAAAGCTAACCAGAACTTTAGCAACTAGCATAACTGCCTTTACACTGATAAGGACTTAGTATGTCTGATATGAACACATGAACTCCCAGTAAAATGATGAGCATAATTTCTGTGAAGTACAAACTAGTAACTAGTACATAAGCGTAAGTACATATGGCAGCATGCTATCCAAAAAAAGAAGCTAATATGCAACTGATTTTGGGAAATTCTACACAGGCAGTAAATCTATACATCATACAAATAGTAACTCAACTTGCAATTTATTTCAATGAGTTTGATGTTAGCATGTTGCTAAGCTAACACTACAGAACACTAATAGGAATTAAATTTCCATTTTTTAGTTAGATTTGACTATTTAATTCAATCTATGTTAGTGATGAAAGAAATGATATAATGAGAATTGTGCCCGCATTCTCCACCATCTAAAATAGACTGAACTACCAAAACCCTAACTTTAAATTACAATTTATAATAAGCGAAACTCTGAATAGAATGCATCTGAGGAAATAAGTCACGTTATTACATCTATTGTTCTTACCTTAAAAAGTCAGGGGCCCTGGAGATCATGTTCTCAAAGTCGGCAAAGGAGAGCTTGTTGTCTCCATCCAGGTCGGCCTCCTCAATGGCCTTCTCACACACCAGATTAACCTCCTCTGGTGTTAGCTCCTCCTTCGTTAACTTGTTTAAAGTCTTTTCCAAGTCCTCCTTGCAGATGTAATTATCCACATTGAAGTCTAAGAACAAAACAAGAAGATAATAATTAACTACAAAAGGTGTTCATGTTATAAAATTGCTGCAGCGTTTATGAAAGTTGCAATATAAATGTTTATTACAACCTCTAAAACTGCACTGTGACAATCACAGTGTAAAAAAAATATTTTTGTTCTTGTGGACTGTACATGAGTTAATAAAAAATGACTTTTACCGTATATTTTAAAAGCAAAAATGGCTTTCAGTTCTCTGGGAGCCATTTCACTGAGAACTGAAAACATGTCCACAAAGTCGTTGAAGCTGAGGTTCCCCTGGCCGTCTTCAGAGAATGATTCCACAATCCGATTCCTGAACGGATTCTCCTAGAAAACCGAAATTGAATATTTTATTAGGTTTATTGGGATAACACTATAAAAAGAACTAGAGAGGCTGCAATATTATTGTATTTTTAGTATGATCTGTCTATTTACTATTATAGTGTTTCTGTCATGACAACTCTTTAGAGTTTAGCATGGTAATGTACATGGCAATGTTAATGTGTTTGGTCTTGTTGGAATAGATCTGCTACGATTCTGTTGCAGCAGAGCAAGTACCGACTTGCTACTGCCAATACATTCACAGACATACTACTGCGAGCATGTAGAAAATAACATACATAACATACATGAAATAATCTCCATATATAACATACATGAAATTACCCTGTAGCAGATCTATACAGGTGGAGCTGGGGAAGGTGGACGGTTTCTGAAGTGTGCTGCACCTGCTACAGCAAAGCACTAGCCAAGTTTTTGAATGTTGAGCAGCAATCTGCTGATGCAAAAAGAAACCAATCAGCTGCACCATGTGAGCAATGATGTGATTATATCAGATTGAGTTAGAACCTATCTGTCTGCGCCATGTAGCGTTTCATGACAGAACTTTGTATTTAGTAAGATTTTGATGTATTTTCAGTGTCAGTCTACGTTTTAGCAAATTTGTTGTGTGATTCTTTTTTTTTTTTGATTGTTTGATTTGATGTTGATTGTAGTTTTAGTATTCTCAGTACTTCAACTTCATTTTTTCCATCTATTTATATTAAATTTTATTTCAGCTTGATTTCAATGACTGAAAATGACAGTAACAGTTAACAGAAACAACACTGTGGAAAATTTATCTGGATATTCTTATGGAAACCTACGATTAAAGGTGCAATGGTGAAACCATAAAAATCACATAATACCACACTATTCTTTGAAATATTTTACTAACAGTGACAGTGACATGACGTGTGGCTATAGTGTCCCATACTCAGAATTTGTGCTCTGCATTTCACCTATCCAAGTGCACTCAAACAGCAGTGAGTAGTGAACACACATACACCGTGAAAACACACCCAGAGTAGTATTAATTATTAAGTCAATATATTTTCCCTTAAAAATCAATGTAGATGCAAAAAAACAAACATCTGTAGATTGTATCTAGGCCTGGCCATAGAGTGCAAATGTATGGCTGTACATAAGCATGTGTGCAGCACAGGGAGTTTTGCTGAGTGAGTCATGTATAAAATGTAGAAAGGCTGACTCCCCAAACTGGCGCCCATATATTTCTTACTGGCTATTGGCTTAAAGGAATTTTTATGCCCTGTGCTACTAGCTGACTCAACAGCTCTGGGAACAATAGCATGAACACAGCAGAGCAAGATCAAACCTGATGTCTCTGCTCTGCTTTAAACACTCAACATCCTGTGCAGAATTATAACTACACCATCCCAGGTGATATTTTTGTGCCGTTTTACCATCTGCAAGGTCAAAATAGCAAGCTTTACATGTAGGATTTGAAGTATAATATGTTACTTCGGGTTATGGGTTTGCTCAAGTGATGAGTATAAGCCATAGCAAGCACCACAGTTCAACTTGAAGGAACTTCAGGCATGATTTCAGATTAGTTACTTTTCATTCAACCAAATAATCTGTTAGTAACTGGATTGATGACTAAATCATATATGAATAGCTTTCATGTAAACACTGCTATCAAATGAAAGTTCAACAATGGATTAGAAGTTGTAGACCAGAAAAATAATCTGGCACGTAAATGCTTGAATCTGACTATTTTCTTAATTTCATTTCAAAATACCTTGCACATATGCGCAGTGCAGTATTTACATGCGTTATATTCCAAACTGGTCAGTGGAGAAGACTGAATATTTGCTAAAACCTCTTGTCTGATATACATTACATCTTATTTATTTATTTATTTATTGATATGTCTGCAAGGCAAAAACTGTGATTATGGACATTATTGCACTAGTTTCTGAACACATGTAATCAGGGTTTGAAATTAACACCCGCCAACCTGCCAAATGCGGGTAAAAATCAGCTGTGGCGGGTAACGCTGTCAAATCACTAGCCAATTTGGCGGGTTACTTTTCGTAAATTATGTTTACTAATTAATTTATTGAGGAAGTTCATGTAAGCCATGTCATGATATATTAAATAAGCCTAATTGCGCAGCATCTGGGCATATCTAGCTTACTTGAACATACCCAGCGATGTAGCTACTGGCCATCGGGAGCACCAGGACATTCCCGGTGGGTCGATCGCCGAAGCGAGGGAGACCTCATATTAGGCGATATGCAACTTCTTGGACAAACCTTATCTAAGTTCTCATCTTGCCCACTGATCTACGTTCATCTTTACAATTTTAACCCCAGTCCAGCCCTGTACTCGTCACTACGCAACAAATAAAGGCGTGGCGGGCGCTCTGGTTTCCTTTGCATTGAAGCAATAACGAAAAGTCAAAAAATGCCTGAAGACTCGCACCGTGTGTACACCAGATGTGACAAAATACTATAGAACCCATTATAATCGGTGATGCGGCCTACACTGGATGTGGCACAGCACAACACGACAAATCCTCAACAGTAAACTGATGCCTCGTTCTATTTATGATGTAGGCCTACTGTTTGACAAAGTACAAATGATTTGCAATGGTCACTTTGTCGCATCCAGTGTGGACAGCCTCAAGCTGTTGGCTTACCTCCGGCCTTTTTTTCATAATTTATTTGTTTAATTTTTTTGGCTAGTAGAAATTATGAATGGCCGGTAACTTAAAAATTTAGTAGCCAAATTGGCTGGTGAGTGAAAAAGTTAATTTCAAACCCTGCATGTAATGCACATGTAAATGAACATGAAATCGGATTGCAAGGTTTAGGGTTCATATATCCTTCAGAATCTGAAATCAGATTGGATTCATTCAAATTGAAGAAAATTTAGAAGAAAATTGAAGAATTGAAGAAAAGTTAGACTGCCTTACGGGCAACATTATAAAAAACATCCATCAATGTGTATGTCAAAAAACTCAGAGGCATTTGTATTGGCAGATGTCAAGAAAACAGCCCTCTAATGCTCTGATGTGTTAAATCACTCTACTTCTGCATGAAAAGGCTAATTATCCAACTGAAGGGTCAGAGATTTATGTTTACGAAGGCTGAGAGGATCTTTGCAAACTGGAAGCTGTCGTAGCCCCATCAATCCCAGCTTGAGTGGTCTCCATCAGTATCATCCACCTCCTAGGGTTGGGTTTATAGCTCCTTCGTGCATCTGACGGCTTTAGAGGGCGGTAAAATTATGTCTCCAGCAAAGGGGACATAATGGGGCTCATTCTGGAGCCGTAACATCCAGCCAATTTTGAGGGCTGGGTCTGAATTATTAAGGAAAGGTGAGATTGGATCAGCGATATGATCGTAATAATGAATCCTCAGCTCTAATGAACTATTTTTTTTATTAGATTGAACCTTTAGATTTAATATTTCGAAAAAAGGTGCATATATCTTATTTAAATCAAATAGCTTGTAATGTAAATCAATTGGATCTTTTTAACAGTATAGCAGATTACTTACATAAAATGGACATAAATATCAGATGTCACTCTTTATCTCCCAATAATATGTCTTAGCAAGATGATATAAAAAAACAGTTTTATGATCAAAGCTCTATTGTGTGTTTTTATTGTGGTGCAAAACATATAATGCATTGGAATACAATGATGATTGAAAGATTCCTCAAAAAGCACTATGTTTCATATTTCATTAGTGGTCGACCGATATTGGTTTTTTGACAGCCGATGCCGATATCTTGGAAAGCAGGGTGGCCGATGGCCGTTATAAAGCTGATATAATTGTATTTATTTTAATTAATATTTAAGAAATGTCCAAATAATTTGAAAATGGATTAAAAAGTAAATGTTTTAAATAAACATACTTTATGACAAAGTATTTTTCACAAATAAATAAATATTTAATAAAAAATTGAAGAAAATTTAGAAGAAAATTGAAGAATTGAAGAAAAGTTAGACTGCCTTACGGGCAACATTATAAAAAACATCCATCAATGTGTATGTCAAAAAACTCAGAGGCATTTGTATTGGCAGATGTCAAGAAAACAGCCCTCTAATGCTCTGATGTGTTAAATCACTCTACTTCTGCATGAAAAGGCTAATTATCCAACTGAAGGGTCAGAGATTTATGTTTACGAAGGCTGAGAGGATCTTTGCAAACTGGAAGCTGTCGTAGCCCCATCAATCCCAGCTTGAGTGGTCTCCATCAGTATCATCCACCTCCTAGGGTTGGGTTTATAGCTCCTTCGTGCATCTGACGGCTTTAGAGGGCGGTAAAATTATGTCTCCAGCAAAGGGGACATAATGGGGCTCATTCTGGAGCCGTAACATCCAGCCAATTTTGAGGGCTGGGTCTGAATTATTAAGGAAAGGTGAGATTGGATCAGCGATATGATCGTAATAATGAATCCTCAGCTCTAATGAACTATTTTTTTTATTAGATTGAACCTTTAGATTTAATATTTCGAAAAAAGGTGCATATATCTTATTTAAATCAAATAGCTTGTAATGTAAATCAATTGGATCTTTTTAACAGTATAGCAGATTACTTACATAAAATGGACATAAATATCAGATGTCACTCTTTATCTCCCAATAATATGTCTTAGCAAGATGATATAAAAAAACAGTTTTATGATCAAAGCTCTATTGTGTGTTTTTATTGTGGTGCAAAACATATAATGCATTGGAATACAATGATGATTGAAAGATTCCTCAAAAAGCACTATGTTTCATATTTCATTAGTGGTCGACCGATATTGGTTTTTTGACAGCCGATGCCGATATCTTGGAAAGCAGGGTGGCCGATGGCCGTTATAAAGCTGATATAATTGTATTTATTTTAATTAATATTTAAGAAATGTCCAAATAATTTGAAAATGGATTAAAAAGTAAATGTTTTAAATAAACATACTTTATGACAAAGTATTTTTCACAAATAAATAAATATTTAATAAAAAATATAATAAAAAAAGGAAGTAAAAACACTGTAACAAGGCACTTAGTATTCTGGGAAGTTTGTGTGCATTGGGAATCATATTTTTTCAAATAACGCTAAGGTAACACTCATTTTACATACAGCACACAGTGAAAATGACATAAATAATTTACAGTGGGCAAATGCATAAAGCGCAGCATAATTTGAACTCACAAGTTTAAAGTTTGTCGATCGCGCGTCTCCAGT